GAAAACCTTACCCTGCCATGCATGTGCAGTGTGTTGCAACAACTGTCGGGTAGGCTGGATCCTCATTATTCAGAGCAACCCAAGGTTGATGTGGGCACTGAGTTACTCTTTGAGACGGACGGACAGCAGCTCTAAAAGTCATCATATGCTGTTTCAGCTCACTCTTCATTGAGTAGACAGTCTCCACCCATCCAGACTGAAAATAAAATTAAGAAAATGCATTATTATTGATAATAAATAAACTCAGCAGAGCACACGGGAATGCACTGAAATGGCATGACGGTGGGTTGTCATTAGCAAGTTGACCCAAAAATGGCTACAAATGTCAACAACCAACATGTCAATCATTCAATTGGCTCATTGCTGTAGGATGAAACAACTTCAGTGGAGAAGTCTGAGTATATCTTGAAGCTAAAGGCTAAAAGGGAAAATAAATAAAAGGCTAAATAAAATCAGAACTACAAATGAGAATTGTTTTCGTGCAGATTATTAAAACATAAATTCTAATGCATAAAATCAATGTTAGCCTTCTACAACAGCAAGTTTTTTGACACACAGTAAGTGATCCACTAGAAGAAAAATCCCTGTCCATCACACAAATTTGTAGAAATTATTTTTCAAACAAGTCAAAGAAAACTTCGTGGGAATTTTAATAGCACGTAACGAGCGCGCAACCTTTAGCGGCGCTAGCCTAGCATAGCTACATCACGCAACGAGCCAATATCATGATGACATATGCCTATATAGGCACAAAAACACATACATAATCCTACCTCAAAGAAAATATATGCATCCAAGCTTTTGTAAGTCCTCATCTTCTCCATTGTGTAGACGCCAGGGCTGTTAATGAGGTACTCGTAAATGGCAGGCCATTGGAGATCTGGCCATGTTGTTGGGTCGTTTTGCCATGAACCTTGAGGTGCTTGGTATGGACACGATTCCAAACCAACCAGATGTAACTTTTCTTCATACCGGTGCTTGGCCTTTGGCTCTAATCCGCTGAAATATTCGTAAGACATTAACTAAGACCTTTGTGTTGTCCAATGTCCGTGGTAAATAGCGGTTGTCAAGCAAAAGCATACCCCTCTAAAAATGGCGGCGGGCGTTGCTAGGTCAAGTGTCCCGGATGCTGATGTCACCGCGAAAAGATGTATTGCCTTTTACCGCGCTGATTTTGCCTCATATTATCTTTTACGTTGAATCTCCGATCCAGGGTGAGTCCATATACAAGTTATGGTCGTATTATGTGCTGCATATCGTTGTGAGCGCTCATGATCGCGTAACTTTCAGAGTATCAGCCAGTGTTTGTTAGCGGGGCTAACAAACCCAACAAACTACTCGGCCTGACATCATTCCACTTCGAATCTGACTCTGTACCTTCAATGGTGAGTTACTTTACAGCAGTTCGGGTTGTCTCTTTTGTGTTTAGCGAGTGATCTTACGTTATATGATAATGTTTAGTTTTGTTTGGTGGTAACCTCGCTGCCGCTCCTATTCAAAACTCCATTTACACACGGTCACTATTGTCCCTGTTTTAAATGCGTCCGCGACGCACCAAGCATTGCGTCCAGCATTTAGATTGAGCCATTTTTAGTTCTGATTACGTGTGGAAACCTTGCCGTACTGCAGTAACGCGGCAACAGGTTTCCATCCTTTGTTAATTTGATATTTTTAACGTAGCTACGTGTTTATTTTTGATCGTTGCGCAACTTGACTGACTCTGCTTAAGTATTTAAGTATTATTTTTTTATCTCTGCTCAAATAATCTATATCAGAGTATTTAATGAATTACTTGAGTATGTATTTAATGAAGTGCACTTGTTTTGAGATGTAGGTTCCTGAATCGAAGAACCTGTTATGATATTGATCAGCTATTTAGTGGTTGATTTATGATTTGATTTTGGTTATAAATAATATAACTTTAGCGTATTTTACATAAAATATGTACCTTTTTGTAACAGTTACATGTGGAAAATATGTATCTACATTTACTCCTCTATGTACATTCCACATGTACATCATGTCCCTTTTAGTAGATTAGTTTATTTATACAAATGTTATTTTGTGTTTTTGTTTGCTTTGACCTTTCCAGGTCAGGCTTTTGTTTTTACGTTGGATTATTGCAACGGCTCTTCGACCGACTGCAATCACCTTCTGGATGGCGAGCTATTGTTCTACCTGAGTGGTAGGATCTTGAATACTTGAACTTTTCTGCTATCCCAGAAAAAAGGAACTCTAAAGGACTCTAAAACGGAACTTAAAGTGCAGTTTATGAGCCCACCATAACTGAATTGAATCTGACCTACCAATGGGACACTTTTTGTTTTTGTATTTTTTCTTTTTGTATTACAAATATTTCCTTATCTGCCCTAGTTATATAGCAACAACAACTGTAAATAATATAATTTCGTTATCGCATACCTCTCCTATATTTATAGTAATCAGTGACTTCATCATATATAGATTTATATATACTTTTTATAAACGCAATTGATTTTGTCTGTGTGTTCATTCACAACACCCTGGCTCCTTGGGCCGGAATCTACCTTCTGGTCAACCTAATTGTTCACTCTGCTACTAGCCTAGCGTTACATGAAGGTCTAGGAAGGTTCTTTTTAAAAATGGACATAATAGAACCATGTTTATAGAACCATCTGAGCCAGGTGCGGGAAACTGTTCACAAAGTCTGAGTGTCTAAAACAAGACGCGTGCACAATGGAATACAAGTTTGAACAGTTGTTGCCACTGGTACATGTACCTGTAGTAACCACTGGAGGGCACCTCGCTTCTGAAACTCTTAACTAATAGCCACACAGTTGTTCTGCAGAGCCCACGGAGCAGGAGGACTGAAGAGTGTTCTGTGAGGGTCTGGGACCTGTAAAAAACCTTCATGATGTGTCCTGCTTTCTCTTACTGGGTCCTGCTGTCTCTTTGTTGTCTGGTGTCTAATGTCTGTGTCCTGGTGTCTCTGTCTGTGTTCATGGTGTCTCTCTCTCTGTGTCCTGGTGTCTATGTTGTGGAGGCTGCCCCCTCTACACAGTTAAAACAATAAAACATTGATAACTAAATATATTATATATATATATGTATATTCTTTTAAAACATTGTTTTTATAGTATATTTTTAACGGACACTTAATCTGCAGTTTCTAACAGAAAGTAAATTAACCAAAGATAATCAAATCATGTTATTGTTATCGCCCTGATTCATTAGGGGGGGCGCCACAGACCCGCATACAGACTCGTACAGTTATAAGGAATATATTGTATTTGTTGAAATCAATTAAATCGTTAGAAGTACTTCAAAGAAACTACATACAAGCCTCTCACTTTTTACAGCCTTTACCCAGCTTTGGACTGGGTTATTATAGCTTGTTTTTCCAATGTGGTTTTTACTGCAAATGCCATAAATAAATGAATCTGAGTCTGATCTGATCTGATAGAACTGTATTGACTGCAAATACTGTCAGACTTAGAAGTATTCAAAGTTACCACTAAAACGTTTAAACACTTAAATCTTAATCTATATATCTATCTATCTCCTCCTCACCATGCATGGCGGGTTCATCCCCAAATCCAGCACCCTGGAGAACTGTACGTAAGCCGTAAAGAAGGAGGCCGAGGACTAGTGAGTGTGAGGAGCCACTGTCCAGGACGAAACATCATCCAAACTACATCATGGGAGGCCAAAACGGATGACGTACTCAGTGAATGTCTCAGGCTAGTGGCGAGATGAGGAGGTGCTGGAGGAGTCGCCATCATGGGGAGAACAAGCCTTCAGGCATGTACCACGGGAGAGCATAACAGAAGTCGGGCTGATCTCAAGGAGTCGTACCAATGGCTAGTAGGGCTGGCCTACAGGTCAGCACAGAGGCACTCATCATGCCGGCACTGGAACAGGCCACTGTTGCACACCAGAGCGATAGAGGCCCAGATATACCACCACCAGGACAAGACCCAAGGTGTCGGTTGTGCAAAGAGGCACCTGAGCGATCCAACACATAACTGCAGGGTGCAAGATGCCTGGCAGGGAAGGCCTACCATGGAACGCCATAACCAAGTGGTGGCATGTGTACAGAAACATCTGTGCAGAGTTTGGGCTGGAAACCCCAAGGTCTAAGTGGGAAACTCCTCCAAAGGTGGTGGAGGAATGAGCGTGCAAAGATCCTGTGGGACTTCCAGATACAGACCGAGCCGAATGGTAATGGCGAACCAACCTGACATCGTGGTGGTAGACAAAGGGCAGAGGACAGCCGTGGTGGTGGACGTGGCAATTCCAAGCGATGGTACATACCGGAAAAAAGAACATGAAAAGCTTGAGAAATACCAAGGGCTCAGAGAGGGAGCTGGAGAGGGCCTGGAGGGTAAAGGTGACAGTAGTGCCCGTGTGGTGATCGGTGCACCCCTCGGGGCAGTGACCACGAAGCTAGAAGAGTGGTTACAGCGGATCACCCGGATACAACTCGGACATCTCGGTCCAGAAATGTGCAGTGCTAGGAACAGCAAAGATACTGCGCAGAAACCCTCAAGCTCCCAGGCCTCTGGTAGAAGACCCGAGCTTAGAGAGGGATAACCGCCCAGCGGAGGGCCAAGGGTGAGTGGACAATTTTATATGATATATTTATAATATATATATATATAGATAATTTTATATCTTATAATTTTATATCTAAGATTTTTAGAATGTCCCCCGTTTAAATTATCTCTTGGAGTAAAAATATTTCAACATTTAGAAAACATACACACACCAAGGTATCAGAAGTGTTGGTAGAGTTTATGCCCTGGGGCAGACCAAACAGAGAGGTGGCCATAAATCTGTGCCTTCGTATCCTCCCACCACCACCAACCATTCACAAACACAGTACTCATTCTATTGTGGGGGGAAGTGTCTTGCCTGAGGGACACAACCACAGTTTGACACTTTACAGCCACCTCACTGTGGCGAGTCGTAATTTATTTGTGTATCGCTTCGGAATCTATGACGACTTTACAAAGTTGTCGATGGTCGAGAACATGTATCAGGTCTGATGGCAGACCTTGTCTCAGATCTAGGTAGAACATAGTCGCTGGTCTGTGGTCCTGAGGCAGAACATAGTCTCTGGGTATGAGTCTCTGGTCTGAGGTCCTTGAGGCGGACATAGTCTCTTGTCTGTGGTTCTGCGGTCTGAGGCAGAACATAGTCTCAGGTTGAGGTCTGAGCAGTACATAGTCTTGGTTCTGATAGGTCTGAGGCATGAACTTTAGTCTGAGGTGCTGAGGCTAGAACATAGTTCTGGTCGAGGTCTGTCTGTCTCCTTCTGTCTGTCTTTCTGGTGCTGTCTTTAGTCTGTCTTTTGTAGTGCAGTTAGTTAGTAAGGGAAATGTATAGTTTTTTTTTAGGCAGGTCATTTTTGGAAAATAAGTACCCACTGGGTGAAGTAATCTGCCATCACGGAATTAAAAGCAGAGAGTACGGTTGCCAAATGGCAGCGGTTAGGGCTGGGCAGATATAAACGGTATAAGCGGTATGCGATATAAATTTGGCCCACTGGTAGAGTTTTTTGTTTATACCTGTCTTTATTGCGATGGTCATTATGTCATTAAAATTGCGCAGGATCTGACGCAGCAGGAAAGGACCAAAACAAACCAGCATTCAGCTGCATCTAGCTTGCAAATTAGCCTAAGCACATTAGCCTAGCACTTGTGGTCACCACTGGAAACAACGATCAACAGACGGCTTTAACACCGTGTTTCTGTCTATGTTTGTTGTCACAGAGGCCCAGCTAGATGGTAATTACACACACAGTAATCACCTGTTATAGAGTCTACCTTTTGGCCCATATCAGTGTTCAATAAGGGGCGTTGGCTCGAAGCGCCAGCGCGAGCCATATAGATACATGGTGTGACGTGTCCGCAGCTTTACTGCAGAAGGTTTGGGACAAGTTAGCGTCTGATTCGGTCCTCCCGGCGGTCAATGCTCACGAAAGCTACTTTGTTTTAATACAAAATTATTGATGCCTATATAAAAAAAAAATAACGATCATTTTACATCAATTGTTGCAAATCCAATGTGCTGTTTTAATGGATCATTAAATCCATTGATTATCCAGTTCACTGCACAATAAGAGCAGAGAAAAGCGCATTAGGAGAGCGTCAACAAATGGCCTAGTCCAGCTTTGTAAAATAGCTTTTTACAGAAGTCATGTACAGTACCTGCACGAAACTCTCCAGACTACTAATGATTATATGACCATGTGCTAACGGCCTACAGACTTTGCGAAATTCAACATTTGTGAGTTTTATATTATAATTTTGCAAATGAATGCTAGGTTTTTCTTTTTAAAAATTGCTTTTACAGTGAATGGTATTTACTGTAACCTACCATAAATAATGCGTAAGTTATTGCTCTCGTTTATTTCGTACTCACACCTGATTTTTCCTAACTCAAAAAATCATGATACAATTAGATTCCTAATTATATAAATAATTATACAATCATGACTCTATTTCTTAAGGCATAGAACCCTTGCTATGACCTATAATGAAAATCACACAGCAAAATACCACATTATACAGCAATATATTACCGTTTTTTCGAACCGTCTGTGTCCCCAAAATTATATCGGCGCGAATACGTGAATTTTAGGCCATATCGCCCGACCCCTAGACAGAGGTCCTTATTTGTTTGATGTGGTCAGTTTATATAAAGGTCCTTTTGAGTCGCGTTCGGTTTTGAATATTACATTTAAATCAAGGAAAGCATTCTCCTGCTGTGAGGTGATGTGTAATATTATATATAGTTCGGCGTGGAAAGACGTTCTGAAATTGCACTATGGGCACATTACGACCTGGAGCCTGAGTTTGTTGCAACTCGGCTTCAGATCTGAGTCTGTTTAGTTTGTATATGTCCTATAAATTTATTAATAAAATTGCGTGTATCTCAGGCTGGTGGTTTTCTGATCGCTCTCCGTTACTGTCTCCAATGGAACTATCATTACCAAGTCCAACACTGAACTGTGCTGACCGTCTCCCTCTGACTCTGGGAGCTAAAGAACAACAAACAAGGGTTTTTCACTTATTAGGCCAATTGAGACTGGTGTTGTGTTCCTCGCACCAGCTCAAAAATGTTTTTAAATTCTAAAAAACGAAATCAAAACAGGACAGCAGTTAGAACGTCCAACTCTGCAAATCTAATTTCTTGTTCCCTGTAGAAATCCAATCACCACATTAATCTTCTCTGACGTTATTTTTAAACTTGCTTATGCTTAATGTCAGATCTCTATGTAACAAATCATTTTTAATTAATAATTTTTTATTTAATCACTTCTTATGATCTTGATTTAGCTATGGCTGAAACGGACATGGCTCGACCAAATATACAGAAATGCAGTTCTAATAGAAGCACCACCACCCAATTTTAATTCGAATCCGAAATAGACGAGAAAACAAAAGGGGGAGCATAGCTGCAGTTTTAGAGAGCACTTTGTCTCCCATAGAATGCCCCTTGGAAATTTGTCAATCGGTTTTGAGTATATTCCTTTTAAAATGGAACAAAGCAATCTTTCTACTCTTTTCATTGTCCAGTACAGGCCACCACAGTCATGTTGCGATTTTATGACCATTTACTGAACTACTTTCATCGTAAGTGCACAGATTTGATAGTTTTAGTTATTACAGGTGGATTTTAAATGTACATGTTGTAATGTTGATGACAGAAATGCAAAGGAGCAAGGCTTCTGTATTTGAGACCTTGGTTTAATTCAGCACGTGAGTGGCCCCACCCACAGCAGGGGCACACTCTTGACCTGCTAATTACAATGGGGTTAATGGTACAATGTTAATGAGTAGTGGATAGTTGCTTTGTCAGATCATTTCTGTGTATTTTTTTGATCATGTTTTATGCTAGCAAACCACAAGCTGAATTTACAACTGTTAGAAGGAAGACACATACATGAAAACACAAGTGAACTGTTCAATGGAATGCTAAATTTGAGAACTCCATGCTCTACGGTATGAATTGTATGAATCTCCTTCACCACCAGTGTTCTGACTGTTCTGACTCCTGTGCTCCTGTGAAGGTTAAAATTAGTTACCAGTAAGAAAAAGGCCCCATGGGACGAAGGAACTCGTTAGGGCACAGAAGCAAGAGTGCCGAGGGCCGAACCAGGATGTGGCGAAAGTCCAATTTCCAGGGCGATTATGAAATCTTTAAAAGATGTTGGGTGAATTTAAACCGGGTTCTACGTAGCAACTAGAGAAATTATTATTTCTGACATTATTGGAGGATGGCAGTAACAATTTTCGTGTTAATGTTTTCAACAGTTTGGTAGATTAACGAACCCCCCCTGTAAAGTTGCCCCTCAAGAAATTTCCTCTAAATCTTAGTGTAATGAGTTCGCACAGTTTTTCGATGACATGTACAAGGAATCAAAAACACTATCACCTCCACAGCACGTATAACAAGCAACAGCATAGAAGGCTTTTTTGAGCTAACTCACTTTGCCCCTGTGGATACTGAAACTGTCAAAAAGATAATCATGATCTGAGCTGCCTCCACATTAGCCCCGGATATATGTGCCCTCTAAATGTCTGAGTCCGGCCTGAGCAGTTTTTGTTACCTCACTGGACACAAATCGTAAACATGTCTCTGTCGTCAGGCACCAATTTCCTATGGCCCTAAAAAACAGCAGTCATAAGACCTCTCCTAAAAAAATAGCAGTCTGGATCCTGCGGGACATCAATATTATCGCCCCATATCGAATCATGCCATTTATGAAAAATTCTTGAAAAAGTGGCCTCCGACAACAACTACTGAATTTTAAACAATGAATAATTCTTTTTGATAGGTTCCGTCTGGGTTTTTAGACCCCACACAAGGCACTGGAACCACAGCTCTAGTGAAGGTAACATACGACATTCGACTTCACACTGATGCAGGTAAACGTCACAGTTGTTGGTCAGGTTAGATCTAGTGCCATGCGTTCGACACATGCGAGCCATGAGATCCTCACGCAGAGACTGGAGGACTTGGCTGGTGTCACTGGCACAGCCCTATACTGGTTTAGGTCTTACCTGGAGGATAGGAAGTACTCTGTGGAGATTGAGACTGCGTCTCAGATTGATTGGCCCTGACTCGTGGTGGTGTACCACAGGGGATCGATCCTGGGACGCTCTCCTATTTATCTCTACATGCTGCCGTTAGGTCAGTTAATACAAAGAAACAAAGTGGTCCTACCACAAATTTTTACGCTGACGACCACTCAGATCTATGTCTCACTGACTGCAGGAGAACCGATGGACCACTTGGATTTCTCCTTCCACTGTATCCAACAGATCAGTGACTGGATGCAAAATAATTTCCTCCAGCTAAAATGCAGACAAAACCGAAATCATTGTCTTTGGTCCCCAGAAACACGAAAGAGAGGGCGTCATTTGTCAACTTCAGCTCTCTCCCTAACTTCCTTCAGACAAGGTCAGAAATTGGGGGTAATACTGGACTCAGACCGAAATTTCAATTTTTTTAGCCAATAAAACAATATCATCAACAGCTTTTTAACCAATCTGAAGAACATTGCCAAAGTTAGAAATCTAGTGTCCAGGTCAGACTTTGGAGATTCTTGTCCATGCCTTTGTCTCCAGCATCAGGAGGCTAGGACTACTGCAATGGCCTGCTTACAGGTCTGTCCAAACAAGACCTGTAAAGCAGCTGCAGTACACCAAAAAGCAGCAGCTAGAGTCCTTACAGGAACCAGGAAGTATTACCATATTAGTCCGTTCCCTCAGGTCTCTGCAGCTGGCTTCCCTGAGGCCTCAAAGAATAGATCTTAAAAAACGCTCTTGCTGTGTACAAGTCTCTCCATGGCCTTGCACAAATACATTAGTGACATTTTGGGTTTCATAGAACCGCCCGGACTCTGAGGAGCGACAGGGACTGGCCTCCTGTGCTGGTGCCCAGAGTAGAACCAAACATGGGGAGGCTAGCGGTTTCAGATCCATGCAGCTAAGATCTGGAACAATCTCTCCTGAAAATGTGAGGGAGGCTTCTACTCTGTCCATTGTTCAAATCCAGGTTAAAGACTGTTCTGTTTGCCTGTTCATAAAACTGAAGGATTTTTAATCTCCCCATTTTTAATGCACTGCTGTCAATTGATGTATTTTTTTTAAAATTTCTGTGTAATTTTTGAAAGTTTTAATGGTTTTATTCTTTTGTGTATTTTAATTGTTTTAATTGTGTTTTAATCTTTTGTGTGATTTTAAATGTTTTAATTGTGATTCTGGTGTTTGTTTTTATGTGAATGATTTGTGATGTGGACTGTGAAAGCGCTTTGGGTGTTTGCCCGTGTAAGGAAAGGCGCTCCTACAAATTAAACTTTGATTGATTATTGATATTAATAATGCATCAGTAGTTATCAATTATTGGGCTAGACTGCAATGTAGGTCAAAACCAACCCCCACGGAGCTGCGAACTAGTGAATTGTTGACGGGTGGCGATCATGATGTTGTCACCCTGCGTGCCTTTACCGTGACTCGGCACCGTGGACAATAAACGTTGTAAACGGACTATTTTGTGATTTTTCTGGTCACTTAAAGTGCAACACGAATCTTGTGTTTCGGCTCGGTTTGGAGATCGCATGGGAACGAACAGCTGTTGTGGAAAAGAGCAGAGTTGGGAGTTTTACGCTACAAGCCACCAGCTGCAAGGCCAGAGCGCATCAGCGCACTCACTGAGGACTGAAGCTGTTGACCTGTACACTACGGTAAAAAACATTTACAAATTTATGTTCTACTACAATTTCGGAAGAAGTCGGAGAGTTGGGAGAATGCAATGGGACGGTATTGGAGGAAAATCTACATTGACTTTGTCTCTGCGGATTTATATGATCTTTTTCAATCTTGGTGAGCATCTGTGAGTGAAGAGACAAGACCTTACCTCGGCAATGAGGAACTATCATACAGAATCTGATAGGAGAAGATGTGTCCGTCGCTCGCGGATGAAGGATATCGCTGTTCTCATAGGTACTGGACCGCATGATGATTAAGAGTGTACCCCAGCTACTCCTGCTGCGCATCTCCTCCCTCGCTGCTGGATCCAGCAGGTCACTGCATCACATACCCACAGTGCACTGCAGCACCCACTATTTCAGAGTGCCCGTTTCCATGTGACTATGACTGCCATTTAATGCCAACCACCATTTGTGCACCAATTGTACAGAAAAGAACTAACAATAATGGGACAGATTGGGAACACACATCAAAAAGACAAACGTGGATATTCCAGTTTGGAGAGTCCAAATTTCCCATAAAGCACTAAGAAAGTTACAGTGAGTCGGACAGAACTTGAACTCCAGAGACAACAATTCAGTTGTGCTCAGTCAGAGCAATAGGACTTAAGACGTGCAAATTTTATATTTGCATCCGAAAGGGCCGAAAGTGGACTCAAATACAGCCCGATTTAATCAACAGATCAATTCTTCCTTGCAAACTGTTGTATGGAGAGAAAGAATAATGATGTGGAGAGACTTTGACTGATGTAGACGGAAAACATTGAAGCAGCAGAGAGAAGTTATTTTTTTTGTTTCTGAGGACATTACAGATCAGAGAATCATACACGACACGTATAGTCATCGTGTCCATCAGTGTTATTGTTCATGAAGCTCCTTAAATCCTCAGTGTCTGAAAGCTGAGAGTGACGTCACACTTGTTCTCAGGAGGAGGACGAGCTGCAGAGGCTGAGTCTGGTGAAGGACCTGCACGAGGAGGACACCACAGAGCTGACCGAGCCCACAGAGGACCTGTTCCTCAGTGTGGACGAGGTAAGGCCTCTGTCTCAGTATACATGTCTCAAAAAAAACAAAAACAAAAGTTAATGCTCTTCCGGCGCCAGCTCCCGCTGTGCAGCTCGTCACTTTGGCTCTCTTCTCTTTCCGACCCTTTCTCTATTTATTTCTTGTAGATGTGCTTTTTATTTTTATTTTTCGTAGGCAAGCGTTTATTTGTGCATTGTGCACACGGGAAGCCTAGCCTCGTGGACTTTCTCACTGGATCAACATGTCTTCGGCACTTTTTTCGGAGTCCTCCGCTCACAGAGCCACGAGACCAGCGTGTCCCATTGTTTACACACGGGAGCAGCTCCTCGGACTTAGAGACTCCGCTTTCCGGCACTCAGAGAAGCCGCGATCCCCTTGGAGATCCGTAGGAGACGCAGGGGCTCCAGAGGAGGCCGAAAGAGGAAGAAGAGACCGTATCTCCCCTCCATCCTCATGGGGAATGTACGGCCCATCTCTAATAAGACTGAGGAGCTGACCGCACTGGTCCGCCATCAAAAAGCGTACAGACAATGTGGACTTATGTGTTTCTCTGAGACGTGGCTGTGTGGGAATATACCGGACTCTGTGGTCGCGCTGGAGGGATTTAAACTTGTGCGAGCGGACCGCTGCGCGGAGGGGAGTGGGAAGAGGAAAAGGCGGGGGTGTCGCGGTCTACGTGAACGAGCAGTGGTGCATCCCGACGCACGTGCATGTGGTACATGCACACAGGACCTGGAGCTGCTCGCTGTGAGCATGAGACCCAGGTATCTGCTGCGGGAGTTTTTGAACACGTGGTTATGTGTGTGTACATCCCCCCGTCAGCAGACGCGGCCGCAGCCTGTGAGGAGATCCACAGAACTGTGACCCAGATCCAGACCCGCTTCCCTCTCCGCCACTCTCCCGACATTCAAACAGTATGTCACGTGCCCAACTCGTGGCAATAAGACTCTGGACCTACTGTATGTTAATGTGCGGGACGCATACGCCTCCTCCCCCCTCCCCCCTCTAGGACGCTCTGATCACAGCCTGGTTCGTCTGTCTCCGGAATACACACCAGTGGTGAGAAGAAATCCAGCACAGAAGAGGATTGTAAAAGTGTGGAGCGATGATGTGGATGAGATGCTGAGTGATTGTTTTCAAAACATTGATTGGGAAATGATCTACAGCTCTCATTGTGAGGACATCGAGAGCCTGACACACTGCATTACAGACTATATTGTCTACTGTGTGGATAACACTGTACCAACTAAGAAGGTGCAGTGTTTTTCTAACAACCACCCATGGGTGACCCCTGAGCTTAAAGCCCTCCTGAACCTCAAGAAAAGGGCTTTCATCTCAGGGGACAGGGAGGAGCAGAAGAGGATCCAGCACGAGCTCCAGTGGAGGATCAGGAGGGCCAAGAAAGACTATGGGAAAAAGCTGGAGCAGAAGCTGGCCCAGGGAAACGCCCGCGACGTGTGGAGAGGCCTAAAGAACATCTCCAGCTTTGGACAGAGTGCCAGAGGGACAGCGGATGGAGACCAGCACCGGGCGGATGAATTTAACCTTTAACCAGTACTTCAACCGGTTTGATTCTCCCCCCCCCCTCCCGCCCCCATCTCTTCACACGTCCCCAGCCCAGTGGACACTGCCTTCGGCTTCCCCGGGCCCTCCTGCCCCCGCATCCCCAGCCCCCACCTCGGATAGTACACCCCGGTCCCCCCCCCTCTCCATCACACCGGACCAGGTGAGGAGTCAGCTCCAGCGTCTGAAGCTGAGGAAATCCGCAGGACCGGACGGGATCAGTCCCAGGCTGCTAAGGACCTGTGCAGACCAGCTCTCTGGGGTCCTCAGCTACATGTACAACCTGAGCCTCAGCCTGGAGAAGGTCCCTGTCCTGTGGAAGACCTCCTGTGTGATCCCGGTTCCTAAAACAGCACACGCCAAGGAACCGGCTCACTACAGACCAGTCGCACTGACCTCCCACCTGATGAAGACCATGGAGCGGCTCATCCTCACCCATCTCCGCTCCGTGGTCAGCCCCACCCTGGACCCGCTGCAGTTCGCCTACAGGCCCAACATCGGAGTAGAGGACGCCGTCATCTACTTCCTGCAGCGGACGCTCTCCCACCTGGAGCCTGCCGGGAGCGCTGTGAGGGTCATGTTCTTCGACTTCTCCAGCGCTTTCAATACCCTCACTGCATGGACCATCAACTACCTCTCAGAGCGACCACAGTACGTGCGGCTGCGTAGCTGTGAGTCTGAGGTGGTAGTCTGCAGCACTGGGGCCCCTCAGGGCACTGTCCTCTCACCGTTTCTCTTCACCATCTACACCTCAGACTTCACACACGACACACACAGCTGTCACCTGCAGAAGTTCTCCGACTCGCCATCGTGGGCTGTGTGTCTGAGGGGAACGAACTGGAATATCGGTCGGTTATCAAGGACTTTGTCGACTGGTGCGAGCGCAACCACTTGTGCTTGAACACCAGTAAGACCAAGGACTTCAGGAGAAAACCACTTTCCCACACGCTGCTGAACATCCAGGGGGAGGACATTGAGCTGGTGGACAGCTTCAAGTACCTGGGTGTTCACATTAACAATAAACTGGACTGGTCCCATAATACAACCGCCCTGCACAAGAAGGGCCAAAGTCGCCTCTTCCTTCTGAGGAGGCTGAGGTCCTTCGGAGTGAGCAGGCCTCTGCTCAGGACTTTTTATGACTCTGTGGTAGCCATTTACTACGCTGCCGTGTGCTGGGCCCCGGGCAGCACAGAGCGGGACAGAAACAGACTGAACAAGCTGGTCAGGAGGGCCAGCTCCACTCTGGGCTGTCCCCTGGACTCTGTGGAGGAGGTGAGGGACAGGAGGGTGCTAGCCAAAGCTACCCCCTTCATGAACAATACCTCCCACCCACTGCACAGGACTGTAGAGGAGCTGAGGAGCTCCTTCAGTGGAAGACTGAGACACCCTCAGTGTAGGAAGGAGCGGTACCGCAGGGCCTTAATCCTCACCGCTGTCAGACTGTACAATAAGTCACTTTAAATGGTCACTGTGTGAAAACCTGCACTACTATTGACACTGTTTCCAATTGACACTTGTCACTTTAGTTGTACATAATTATTGTCACTTTTGTTGTACATATACAGTATATCCTGCATGTAACATGTTTGCACATTTCCTCCTTTTGCACAATCTGAGTGTCTCTATCCATGCCAAATGTGACATGTAAATTTCTCCTATGTGAGATAAATAAAGCACATCTTATCTTATCTTCGTATACTGAGACAGAGACCTCTGTCTCAGTATACATACAGACCTCTGTCTCAGTATACATACAGACCTCTGTCTCAGTACACATACAGACCTCTGTCTCAGTATACATACAGACCTCTGTCTCAGTATGGATACAGATCTCTGTCTCAGTATACAAACACATCTATTATTAGGATGGTTCTTTGTGTGCACTGATGTGCATCTGCTGTTCCTCTTTCAGCAGTAAAACACAGAATACAGTCTTTATGGCCATTGATCCCATTCTTCCCTCCCATGGAAACCTTACCTCATAACTCTCTGGCACCTCGCTCTAAAACCTGTTATCTACTGTTTTGTATCTGTTTGTTGCAGTCCCAGGCGAACCACAGTGGCCACGGCTCCATGCACTCTCTGGACGTGGACGTGGGAGCAGGGACCCCTGTGGAGTTCTGCAGGGACAGCCTGAGGAGGGTACAGTCCACCGACAGCCTGGGCTCCAGCGGGTCCCCACAGCAGGGCCTGGGCAAGGCCAAGTCCTCCAGCCACCTGGACGAGTCTGACTTTGGCCCCCTGGTGGGCGCAGATGGTAGGACAACATTTCACATTCAGGGTTAACCTACAGCAGGGGTCTCCAACCTATAGCTAGGGAGATACCAGTAGCTCGCCAGCCCCTTTCAGGTAGCTCCCCAAAGGATTCAGATTTTAACACATGATCTTGAATGAATGCATTTTGAGTCATTACTTGTCAATTATAAGTAAAGATATATTATATAAGTTCTACAGTATTATAGGATATTGATTTTTACTACTACTACAAAAAGGATTAGTTCTCTGCCTCTACCTTCTGTTGTATAAAAGTAGCTCCCCGAATGAAAAAGGTTTGAGACCCCTGACTGCCCCCTGTTAGAACACCATCAGAGGTCTCGTCACCTCCCCCTGGTCTCTCCTGGTTCACCTCCTTCTGGTCTCTCCTGGTTCACCTCCTCCTGGTCTCTCCTGGTTCACCTCCTCCTGGTTTCTCCTGGTTCACCTCCTCCTGGTTTACCTCCCCCTGGTCTCTCCTGGTTCACCTCCTCCTGGTTCACCTCCCCCTGGTCTCTCCTGGTGCAGGTCTGGTGGACAGCAGCCTTGGAGACTCCTCCTCTCTCAGCTCTGTGAAGTTACCAGCCACACACTTCCTGCTGACCAAAGACCAGGAGAAAGCCATCAAAGCCATGACCCCGGAGCAGGAGGAGACGGCCTCGCTGCTCTCCAGCATCTCCCAGGCCCCAGACACCGGCTTCCTGCCTCCAGGCTACAGGCTGGTGAGCGACAGCGAATGGAGCCTGCTGCAGCAAGAGGTGGGCCCCACAGAGACACTAAACAGGCTCAGCTACACACAAATTGGGCACTGTAGCTTTAAGAACACAAACCTGAACAGCCAATCAGCTCGCACCCAAGAAATTATTTATATTTTTTAATTTTCCTTTTCAGTGGATAGTGGATTGCAGTAGTTAGAGTTTGTTTCACATCAAGGAGGTCCAGTGTTCGATTCCACCTCCAGACCTTTCTGTGTGGCGTTTGCATGTTCTCCCCGTGTCTGAGTTGGTTTCCTCCGGGTGCTCCAGTTTCCCCCAGTAGTGAGTGATGATATGTCAGTCATCACCGTGTGGAGGGAGGGAACAGTGTCTGAGGACTGCTTTAAGGAAGTCTGGGCGTCTCTGCTTAGACTGCTGCCCCCGCGACCAGGCAACGGATGAAGCGGAAGAAAATGGATGGATTCAGTCTTGATGGTGTGTCTGTGTTTCAGCTGAAGAACGCAGGTCGAAAGCTTGGCCGCAGGTGTGAGCTTTGTTCCAACTACGAGAAGCAGCTGCAGGCGATTCAAGGCCAGGAGGCAGAGACACGGGACCAGGTGAGACTCTGAGGGAACCGGTTGAGACACGGAACCAGGGGAGACTGAGGGACCAGGTGAGACTCTGTGGGACCAGGTGAAACTCTTTTGAATCTGCAAAAGGAGTTAACCCCTCCCACCTGTTAACGGAGTCAATGGAGCAGATCCAGACCTTGTTTTGGTCATTGGTAACCATTTGGAAGATATGCATGTATGTGTCTTTCATGTATAAGCAGAGAGCCAATATTGCAAATTAAATTGAAATATAATTCATTACATTTATCATCATACACCCAATAACCAATCCCACCATTACAAAACCTTTATTCGCCTTTCAGATTTGGGAATCAGCCACTCGCACGTGCACACACAAAACTCTTTATCGTGCCTTTATCTTACCCACTTTCCTAGCTTATTGTATTGTAACCAACACTGTACAATATCCGTAGTCTGTATTGTTCCCTGTAGGCTCCCTACATCTTCATGACATGGGAATAAATAAACCTTCTATCCTAAAATTTTACCACAATTAAGATTACTGACAACAAATAATGTGACGCCCTTTGGTTTGCATGTTAACAAGAGGATGTGTACCGAGAAATAAAACGTCTTGGAAAAAATCATCACACATTTATTTAAAAAAACAAAATTATAAAGTGCACCAATAAAATTATTTACAAAGGGTCGTTGGGGAAGAGGTCTTGGTGAAGTTCGTTCGGCGGCCACTCATGGCTTCCACCAGCTGGCCCAGAACCAAGAAATGATTGGTTAAATGCAGCCAGCCTGTGCATTTTCCTCCCTCCTCAATGTCGCTTCCAACTCTTGCGACTCTCTGACAAGCTGGAGTTGCTGTGTCCGGTTCAGCTCCTGCTGCACCACATCTTCAGCTTGGATCTGCCTATCATTGCTACAGTCTGCCGTGAAGAGCGCCCTTTTTTCTCTTCCCTGTACAACAATAAAAAAATATTAACAGTTGGTATTTAGCCAAAGCAGTGACATTTCTGGAACATACTTTAATGTAGCAAAAAATTATTAGTTTCAGACCATATATATCACACGACCCGAGATTTGCAACAACTACCCGTTCAATAGAGGTAAAACCGTCCACTTAAAGTGTGACGTGTGGGATGCATTTGACTTAATTGCAAATCGGGTAATGTTTGTATGTCATGTATCACGCTTTGTCAATAAACCATATGTAATGGTCAATGTTAGGCATTTTAGGACAAAGCATGAGCATGACTTAAATACACCCAGATTAATCAAATCAGTCAGTGCAGCTAAACTTACATTTCGCTGCATTTCTTTTTCACACCAAAGTGAAGTGGTATTGTATCACAAATTAGATTTTTTATTTGGAAAAGATCACTGACAGGTGGGTCGATTCTTTTTTATTGACATTCTCTAAAGCAGGGTGATAGTGTCCAAACTAGCATAATTGGACATAGCTTCACCGAGTGTGAATGCAATTACTTCGAGATCCACCAGTGTCGGTAAGACTGCACTGTTGCGGCACAGTATCAATGTAGTGTATGTTTTTTTTTGGCTGCTGACAGACATGAATTTCTCCCAGGGTGATGAATAAAATAGCTATCGATCATGTATTATGTTGTGCCTTACCCGTGACCACACGCTGTGCGCTGCTAGACGTGTCGCTCGCTATCGAAGGGACGCATCAGCGTCGAAGCAGCAGCTGGTTCTGGAGGATTGGAGCGGGACCTTGGGGGTCGTTCGACGCTTCACTTGCGACAAGGGATGCTAAATAAGACAAACACACACAACTACTTAAGTAATAGCACAAAACTGAATGGCAACACGGAAATGGCAAGATGTAGCACTGTTAGCAGCTTGCTATCGATAGCTTAAAGTAGCTAGCTCACTGTGTACAGCAGACAACATTCAAACGATTTACAAGAATAAAAACATACCAGTTGGGCATGTTGAGCCACAGGTTACAGTGATAAAGCATATAATCACAATAACTACAGATAAAAGTTACAAAGCACTTACCATTATCGCCCATTCTCGACTTGGAGAGAGCCAGAACACACTCCCGTCCATTGTTTGCAGGCCTGTGGCCATAAATGGCATCCATCTCGGCATACCACCTCCAGGTCTTCCGATTGAACCCCCACTTCGGCCGTTGTGGTCCTTATGGCCCGGGTAATCACACTTACGGGGCAATTTTTTAATCTTGTCCTGCACTGCTGGTGCGTGCGGTGGTAACCGTGGTGTGAGCAAGAGCTGGGCGATCTCTTTATAGACCTTCTCATTTCGCGTACTGCCAATCGAGCTCCTTCTGTATTCTGTCTTCGGCCAGTAAAGACAGAAATGTTTGGAACCTTCATCAACAGACCACGGTGTGGACTTTTACGGGATTGCTGGATTCCATTTCTGAGCGGAGTGCAGTGCGTATGCTCACAGGCAGTTTAAAAATGGCGGGGGTTGAATCTTGTCTCTCAATACGGTCAGACGTCGCACTTATGACGCTTCCATGACGACAGTCGTTGGCCAATAGTGTGGAGAGAGCCGTTGGCCAATAGCGTAGGCAGTCCGCTTACGTCACGAGCGTGTAGCTTTTTGGAACCGCTCCCGAGGCGGTCCGAAAATAGAACACAATACCTAGCTTCAACAATCACACATATCAAAGTCCTCCTTCTACAGCCCGAGTTTTCTCCCTTTTCTCCCACTGGGTTTTAGAGAAGTTCCTGGTGAGTCTAAAAGAACTGTGATGGTCCAGGACACTCTACATTCTGCTACATTTATGGGCATTTATATCTCCCTATGGTCCAATACCATGTGGTCTCTCTCTATGGACCAATGCCAGGTGGTCTCCCTCTATATCCAATACCAGGTGGTCTCTCCCTATAGTCCAATACCATTTGGTCTCTCTCTATGGTCCAATACCATGTGGTCTTTTTCTATGGACCAATACCATGTGGTCTCTCCCAATGGACCAATCCTGTCCTCCTCCTGTGTCCTCCTCCTCCCGTGTCCTCCTCCTGTGTCCTCCTCTTGTGTCCTCCTCCTGTGTCCTCCTCCTGTGTCCTCCTCCTGTGTCCTCCTCCAGTGTCCTCCTCCTGTGTCCTCCTCTTGTCCTCCTCTTGTGTCCTCCTCCTGTGTCCTCCGCTTGTGTCCTCCTCTTGTCCTCCTCTTGTGTCCTCCTCCTGTGTCTTCCTCCTGCGTCCTCCTCCTGTGTCCTCCTCTTGTGTCCTCCTCCTGTGTCCTCCTCCTCCTGTGTCCTCCCCCTGCGTTTTCCTATCGTGTGCTCATCCTGTGTCCTCCTGTCCTTGTCTCCCTTTGTCCTCCTTCTGTCCTCCTCCTCGTCTCCAGACTCCGTCCTCCTCCAAAGCAAAGGTCACCTCCTTCTCTGGATGTACTGTGTCCTGTGTTAGTTCAGATAAAGCTGACACTACAGTTATAAAGACATTGTTATCTTCCTCCTCCTCCTCCTCCTCTTCCTCCTCCTCCTCCTCCTCCTCCTCCCCATCATCGGCTCCAACTGCTGTTTCTACAGAGACACAGTTTTATCAGGAGCACAATGAAAAGGAGGAGACTGCAGCTGTGCGCTCAGGATCAGGAAGAGCAGGGGTGTCCAAACTTTTTAGTAAGAGCCACATTAGTTCAGACTAGTCCAGGGGTCGACATCACGCACTGAGGTACTGTCTGGACATGATACTTTGAAACGATCTATGACAGAGCTGAAGTTGGCTGAATGACACATGTTAACCATCTCATCAGCTGCAGTAGAACCATTAATGGAAGTGACACAATCGAAAACCAGATTGCTCGCTCCCCCTGGACTGCCACCTTAACGTGGTGGGGGAGTTTGAGTACTCGGGTGATCCTAGGAGCTATGCTGTCTGGGGCTTCATGCCCCTGGTAGGGTCTCCCATGGCAGACAGGTCTCGGGTGACGAGTCAGACGAAGAGCGGTCAGAAGCCAACATGGACAGCACGAACAGAAGAACCGTGACATCGTCCGGCATGGCGCAGCCGGGGCCCCACCCTGGAGCCAGGCCTGGGGTCGGGGCTCGAATGCGAGCGCCTGGTGGCCGGGCCTTAGCCCACGGGGCCCGGCCGGGCTCAGCCCGAAGGGACGACGTGGGCAGTCCCTCCTGTGGGCCCACCACCTGCAGAGGGGTCCGTGGTGGCGCGGTGCAGAGAGGACTGGGCAGCGGTCGAAGGCGGAGACCTCGGCGACCCAGTCCACACACCCAACATCTGGCTCTTGGGACGTGGAATGTCACCTCACTGGGGGAGAAGGAGCCTGAGCTCGTGGGGGAGGTCGAGCGATACCGACTAGAGATAGTCGGCCTCACCTCCACACACAGCTTGGGCTCTGGAACCCAACTCCTTGAGAGGGGTTGGACGCTCCACTTTTCTGGTGTTTCTCGCGGGGAGAGGCGGCGAGCTGGGGTGGCCATGCTCATTGCCCCCCATCTCAGCCGACCACGTGTTGGAGTTCTCCCCGGTGAATGAGAGGGTCGCGTTCCTCCGCCTTCGGGTGGGGGACAAGTCTCTCACTGTTGTGACGGCCTACGGGCCTAACAGCAGTGCAGAGTACCCGGCCTTCTTGGAGTCCTTGGGAGGGGTACTGGACGGTGCACCAACCGGGGACTCCGTTATTCTCCTGGGGGACTTCAACGCCAATTGTTTGTCCATTGACTGTTGGACAAACAACTGAACACCGTTCAGTTGTTTGTCCATCACGAACACCATGTTCGAGCACAAGGGTGTCCACCAGTGCACGTGGCACCAGGACACCCTAGGCCGGAGGTCGATGATCGACTTTGTTGTCGTATCATCTGACCTTCAACCGCGGCCCGGGCCGTTGCAGAGGCAAAAACCCGGGACTGGGAGGAGTTCGGAGAGTCCATGGAGCATGACTATCGGTCGGTCTCGAAGAGATTCTGGCAAACCGTCCGGCGCCTCAGGAGTGGGAAGCAGTTCTTTGCCAACACTGTGTACGGTGCGGGTGGAGGGCTGCTGACCTCAACTGGGGATATTATCGGGCGGTGGAAGGAATACTTTGAGGTTCTCCTCAATCCCCCCGTCACGTCCTCCGCCCTGGAGGCAGAGGCTGAGGATGTTGGGGCGGATACTTCCATCTCCCTGGCAGAGGTCACCAAGGAGGTTGGCAGCCTCCATGGTGGCAAGGCGCCGGGAGTGGATGAGATCCGTCCTGACTATCTAAAGTCTCTGGATGTTGTAAGACTGTCTTGGCTGACACGTCTCTGCAACATCGCGTGGCGATCGGGGGTGGTGCCAATGGAGTGGCAGACCGGGGTGGTGGTCCCTCTCTACAAGAAGGGGGACCGGAGGGTGTGTTCTAATTATCGTGGGATCACACTCCTCAGCCTCCCTGGTAAGGTTTACTCCAAGGTACTGGAGAGGAGGCTACGGCCGATGGTCAAATCTCGGATTCAGGAGGAGCAGTGTGGTTTTCGTCCCGGTCGCGGAACACTGGACCAGCTCTATACTCTCCATCGGATACTCGAGGGTTCATGGGAGTTCGCCCCACCCTGTCCACATGTGCTTTGTGGATTTGGAGAAGGCGTTCGACCGTGTTCTCCGGGGTGTACTTTGGGGGGTTCTCCGGGAGTACGGGGTCCGGGGTCCTCTGCTGAGGGCCGTCCGGTACCTGTATGACCGGAGCCAGAGCTGTGTCTGCATTGCCGGCAGTAAGTCAGACCTGTTCCCGGTGAATGTTGGCCTCCGACAGGGCTGCCCTTTGTCACCGGTTCTGTTCACTGTGTTCATGGACAGCATTTCTAGGCGCAGCCATGGGTCGGAGGGGGTCCGGTTTGGGGACCACAGGATTTCATCTCTGCTGTTTACGGATGATGTCGTCCTGTTGGCTCCAACGAACCAGGACCTGCAACGTGCACTGGAGCGGTTTGCAGCCGAGTGTGAAGCGTCTGGGATGAGAATCAGCACCTCCAAATCTGAGGCCATGGTGCTCGACCGGAAAAAGGTGCCTTGCCCTCTTCAGGTGGGTGAGGGGGTCCTTCCCCAAGTGGAGGAGTTGAGGGAAGGATGGAGCGTGAGATTGACAGACGGATCGGTGCAGCGTGCGCAGTGATGCGGTCGCTGTATCAGACCGTTGTGGTGAAGAGGGAGCTGAGCCGAAAGGCAAAGCTCTCGATTTACCGGTCAATCTTCGTTCCCTCCCAGATTCAGATTCAGATTCAGTTTATTTGCCATTTGCAGTAAAAAAACCACATTGGAATACATTAGCAAAAGTCTCCAGTGTGCACAGACAAATACAGACATAAAACAACATTAAAAGACAAAAATAAAACAAATAAAACAGTAAACAAAAGTCACTGTGAAATCGATCGACTAAAACAGTTCAAAACAAGTGCAAATCATTAAAGTGCTCTGTTCACACTGATAACAGCCTGTGGATAAAAACTGTTAGCGTAACGAGATGTCCTGCATCTCAGAGAGCGATATCTTCTGCCAGAGGGAAGAAGCTGGAACATGGCTTTCCCAGGGTGGCCAGAAGAGTCATTAACAATCCTAAGAGCTTTGTTTAAAAGTCTGGATTTATAAAGAACCTCCAGAACAGGAAGCTCACAGCCCACGGTCCTCTTTGCAGAGCGGAGCACCTTGTTTAACGCTCTCTTTTCTTTATCTGTGATGTTTCCAAACCACACAGACACAGAACCAACAAGTAAACTCTCAATGGTGCAGCGATAAAAGTTAAGCAGAATCTTAGAGTTAGTGGTAAATTCTCTAAGTTTACGCAGAAAGTAGAGACGCTGACGAGCTTTCTTAACGACTCGGTCAGTGTTTTTAACCCATTTCAGATTGTTAGACAGAGTTAAACCCAGAAACTTGCACTCCTCTACGATCTGTACCTGGGAGTTGTCGATTACGACAGGCAAATGAGAACTATTGCGACTGAAGTCGTAGACCAGTTCACATGTTTTCGATGCGTTCAACTGGAGGTTGTTAGTTTGACTCCACTGAACCACATTTTGTATCTCTGCTCTATAAGAGGATTCATCATTGTCACTGATGAGACCGATGATGGTGGTGTCATCAGCATATTTGATGATCAAGTTTGAGTCAGAGGAGGACACACAATCGTGAGTGTACAAAGTAAAAAGCAAAGGACTCCAAATACATCCCTGAGGAGAACCAGTGCTCACAGAAACAACATCAGAAAAACAGTCATTGATTTTCACTCTCTGAGATCTGTCAGTTAAAAAGCTAAAAATCCATTTACACATGGCAACACTTAAACCGAGAGACATGAGCTTTTCAATCAGTTTACCTGGGACAAGGCAGTTAAAAGCAGAGCTATAATCGATGAAAAGCATTCTCGCGACAGATTTACTAGTGTCCAAGTGACTGTAGACAGAGTTCAGAGCAAAGGAGATGGCATCCTCCACACTCCTGTTCTGTCTGTAAGCAAACTGGAGCGGGTCAACACTCACAGGGATCTGGCTCTTAATGAAGTCCAGCACAAGCCGCTCAAAAGTCTTCATAAGAACAGACTTGAGGGCCACAGGACGATAGTCATTCAGGCATGTCACAGGAGTTTTCTTAGGAACTGGAATGATGGTCGACTCTTTAAAGCAGTTCGGCACAGTACAGTTCCTTAGCAACAGGTTGAAAATGTCTGTTAGCACAGGGGCAAGTTGCTCAGAGCACAGTTTCAGGACACGAGGAGGGATGCCGTCCGGGCCTGGGGCTTTCCGGACTGTGGTCCTGGACAAGACACGCCTGACTTCCTCCTGAGTCACGGTGAAGGGACCTTGATTGAAACAATCAGGGAATACAGTAGGACAGGCATCAGCGGATTCAAAGCGACAGTAGAACGTGTTCAGCTTGTTTGGCAGAGCTTGGCCGACAGATGCAATTTTCCCAGCGCTAGGTTTCCACGATGTGATGGCTTTAATACCGTTCCACATGCGCCGAGGGTCATTTTCCTCAAAAAAACTCTTTAACCTGTCCCCGTAACTGCGCTTTGCAGATTTAATAGAACGTTTCAATGAGTAACAGGATAGCTTATAAGCAACTGTATCATTTGATTGAAACGCCAACGCACGCTCATGAAGTTTCAGTTTCACTTCCTCGTTCATCCAAGGGTTTTGACTAAAATGTTCTTCAATGACCTTCTGTGGGACACAACAGTCAATACAGAAGCGTATGTATCCAGACACAGCGTCACAGAATTCATTGACGTCCTCTGACTGAAACACAGACCAGTCCGTAGCATCAAAACAAACTTGTAGCTTCATGCTAGCCTCCTCAGACCAACACTGCACAGTGCGAGAGGTTGGTTTATGTTCCCTGCTCCTCTGAGTATACGAAGGAAGAAGGAGAACAAAGGAGTGGTCAGACTTTCCAAAAGGAGGTCTGAGACTGGACTTGTAAACTCCCTTCACGTTACTGTAGCAGTGATCCAGAACATGTGCTCCTCTTGTAGCTTGAGTCACGTGTTGGTAAAAGTTCGGGAGTACAGACTTTAAATTACATTTATTGAAATCCCCAGCAACAATGATGACTGCATTAGGATGAGCAGACTCATGTTTGTGAAGGATCTCGCTCAGATCCTGTAGGGCTACTTTGTAATCCGCACGTGGGTGAATGTAAACAGCACATAAAAATATCACTGAAAACTCACGGGGAAGATAAAAAGGGCGGCAGCTCAAGACCAGGCATTCCAGATTGGCAGTACATGTTTGGTTCACAATACGAGTGTCCGTGCACCAGCGCTGATTAATTAAAAAGCACACACCTCCGCCTCTGGCCTTGCCCGTGGTCTCCTTCACTCTGTCCGCGCGGTGAGCGGTGAATCCCGGGGGCTGAACAGCAGAGTCCGGGATGTTCGAGTGGAGCCACGTCTCGCTGAGGCAGAACACAGCGCAGTCCCGGGCCTCGCGCTGGCTCTGGACCCGACACAGGAGCTTGTCTGTTTTGTTGGGCAGAGACTGGACGTTGGCCAGGTAGATGGAGGGTAAAGGGGTCCTGGAGGAGCGGCTACGAACGAGCCGACCGCCTCGCCTTCCCCGGTGTCCGCGCCTCCTTCGCCGACTCGAGGTGCCCAGCTCCACACCGCGGAGAGAACGCCGGAGACGCCCAGTCCCCTCGCTCTGTTGGCGGCCACTGCCATGGCCCGCCTGCCGTGCTCCACCAGCCTCTCGAGTGGGACACTCGAGGAAGTTTGTGCACCTCAGTTCAGGTAAACGAGTGACCCGTCACCCGCGTGATCCCGAATGTGCAGAAGTGTTTGCCGATCATATTTCACTGTGGCAAGTGAATCCCAGACGAAAAACAACAAAACACAGATTGTGCGCACCAGAGCGTTCACTGCAGCGCCCTGACACGGCGCCATCTTGCTAGTCCTCATGCTCTCTCTCTCTCTCTCTCTCACACACAGCAGCAGAGGTGGAACAGATGCCCGAGCCACCTCAACTGGTTCCTCTCGACGTTCCTCACCTATGGTCATGAGCTTTGGGTAATGACCGAAAGAACGAGATCGCGGATACAAGCGGTCGAAATGAGCTTCCTCCGCAGAGTGGCTGGGCGCTCCCTTAGAGATAGGGTGAGGAGCTCAGTCACACGGGAGGAGCTCGGAGTAGAGCCGCTGCTTCTTCACGTCAAGAGGAACCAGTTGAGGTGGCTCGGGCATCTGTTCCGGATGCCTCCTGGACGCCTCCTTGGGGAGGTGTTCCGGGCACGTCCCACCGGGAGGAGGCCCCGGGGAAGACCCAGGACACGCTGGAGGGACTATGGGAGGGACTCTCAACTGGACTGGGAGCGCCTTGGGGTCCCCCCAGACGAGCTAGAGGAAGTGTGTTTGGATAGGGAAGTCTGGGCGTCTCTGCTTAGACTGCTGCCCCCGCGACCCGGCAACGGATGAAGCGGAAGAAGATGGATGGATGGATGGACAATCGAAAACCATCAATCCATGAGCTTTAGAATAAGGTACTATACTGTATGGTGTCTATAATGGCTGAGCTGAAGTTGGATGGATGACACAGTGAACTTGTGTTTATGATGTTAGCAAGGCAGAGGGCCACAGAAAATGACACTGAGGGCCGCAACTAGCCGCAGACCAAATCTATGGAAAACATTTAAACTAGACGTGTTTCATGATCCTTTGTTTTACCGTTTTGTTGTTTCACCGTTTCAGGATCAGGAAGTAAATGTTCAGCAGTGTTTCAGCCCTTCCATTCATCAGTTAATGTCATAATCATAGACTGGCATTTTAACAGATGTAGTCGTATCTATCTCCGCCGTTCAGTCTAATGTGACATTACTTTGGCCGTGTTTGGGCAGTTTCAAAATGAGATGTGAAAAAACACATTTGTGAATGAGTCAGCTACATTAGCCCCATTCATTTAACGAGTGCATTATAAAGTCCACAGCGACTAAACTACACTGGTACAAAAACATATATTCCCCTCAGACAGCATCTGGAACTAAGAGGACCACTTTTGGACCAAAAACCACTTTTGGACCAAGTGGTTCAAGAACCACTTTTGGACCAAGAACCACTTTTGGACCAAGAACCACTTTTGGACCAAGACCCACTTTTGGACCAAGAACCACTTTTGGACCAAGAGCCAGTTTTGGACCATCCTGTAAAGATGTTTCTGAGATAAATAAGATGCTATACATTAGCATTGGCTAAATCTTATTCAGGGTCCGGTCCCACAGGCCCGGAATGGTATTGCAGAATGTCAGCGCACGCCATTTTGGACATTTTTGAGCCGGGACCCGCCCACACTGGTCATACAGTAGGGTGAAAATAACGCAGGTCTGCAACAATACAAGATTTAACTATCAACTCAAAAAGAACTGAACCAGAGCGGCACGGTGGCTGAGTGGATAGCACTCTCGCCTCTCAGCAAGAAGGTCCGAATCCCGGTCGGAACAGGGCCTTTCTGAGTGGAGTTTGCATGTTCTCCCAATGTCTGCGTAGGTTTCCTCTGGGTGTTCCGGTTTCCCCTACCACTAAAAATATGCTCTAGGTAAAATCCTCCAGCTCGAGTAGTCCTGACCAAGCCGAGCATCAACATCTGGAGATGGTTCCTGGGCGCTATTACTACGGTGACCACTGCTCCTGATGTAAGCCTTAGTGGCATCAGGATGGGTCAAATGCAGAGGAGGTATTTCCCTGCGGGGATCAATAAAGTGCACATTCACATTAACATTAACATTAACGTAATAGAAATTCAAAAGTCCATCCGTGGGGAAAACAGTATGGACTGAGAGCAAAAGAGGAAAAGAGCACCAGGAATTTAACTGGGAGACTCAGGTGAGACAAATGACTCAGGACACAACAGACCAGGAAGTAACAGACCAGACCAGGAAGTAACAAAAGAAGAATACATCAAAGTAGAAATGCAATGATGAAACACACATGGAGACGTTGGTCCAAAAGAGGCAGAGACCGATGTCCAAGAATGTCCTCAGACCCTCCATCAGAGAGTCACTGATCCTGTACCTATGGTGAACATGAAAGAAGCAGGGTTATGCAAACTTACTGATGCTTGTATGAAATGATCAACCCGCTCTCCCGCTCCCTGGTGCATAGTGTGGGGCGTGTACAGTATCTGGGTCTGCTTTGAAGGCCCCCAGGAGCCTCAGATGTTCTGACAGCTGTCTGTGGAGCCGTGGTCCTGCCCTCGTCAGCACATTCACACGGAAGCTCCTTTTCATGCGCAATCACAGGCCGCGTTCAAAGGGCGAGGTGCCGAGCAGTGCAGACCCGAGGAGCGAGGAGCCGAGGAGCACGTCTACGGAATACTAACCACCTCCTTAACAAGGAAAGGTGAGGGGGCGGACAGGAGCGAGGCCTGGTGCGGCAGGAGGGAGGTGTGGGGAGGCAGGAGGGAGGTGTGAGGAAGCAGGAGAGGTGTGGGGAGGCAGGAGGGAGGCCTGGTGCGGCAGGAGAGAGGTGTGGGGAGGCAGGAGGGAGGTGTGAGGAAGCAGGAGAGAGGTGTGTGGAGGCAGGAGGGAGGTGTGGGGAGGCAGGAGGGAGGTCTGAGGAGGCAGGAGGGAGGTGTGAGGAGACAGGAGAGAGGTGTGGGGAAGCAGGAGAGAGGTGTGAGGAGGAGGGTGGGAGGTGTGGGGAGGCAGGAGAGAGGTGTGAGGAGGAGGGTGGGAGGTGTGGGGAGGCAGGAGAGAGGTGTGAGGAGGAGGGTGGGAGGTGTGGGGAGGCAGGAGAGAGGTGTGAGGAGGCAGGAGGGAGGTGTGGGGAGGCAGGAGAGAGGTGTGGGGAGGCAGGAGAGAGGTGTGAGGAGGCAGGAGGGAGGTGTGGGGAGGCAGGAGGGAGGTGTGGGGAGGAGGGTGGGAGGTGTGGGGAGGCAGGAGAGAGGTGTGAGGAGGAGGGTGGGAGGTGTGGGGAGGCAGGAGAGAGGTGTGAGGAGGCAGGAGGGAGGTGTGGGGAGGCAGAAGAGAGGTGTGAGGAGGCAGGAGAGAGGTGTGAGGAGGAGGGTGGGAGGTCTGAGGAGGCAGGAGAGAGGTGTGAGGAGGCAGGAGGGAGGTCTGAGAAGGCAGGAGGGAGGTCTGAGGAGGCAGGAGGGAGGTCTGAGGAGGCAGGAGGGAGGTCTGAGAAGGCAGGAGGGAGGTCTGAGGAGGCAGGAGGGAGGTCTGAGGAGGCAGGAGGGAGGTCTGAGGAGGCAGGAGGGAGGTCTGAGGAGGCAGGAGGGAGGTGTGTGGAGAGAGATGGAGAGAGACACAGAGAGAGATAGGGTTCTGGTTGTAACATGGCCTTTCTGAGTGGAGTTTGCATGTTCTCCCCATGTCTGTGTAGGTTTCCTCCGCCTGTTCCGGTTTTACCTACTACTAAAACCATGGTCTGTTCCTCCTGTACTGGCCCCTCCCATCTCTGTGTGGAGAGCTTTATGACTCTGGCCTGAGAAAGGCACTATATAAATAAATATGACTTACATTCACACTGATGACACGTGTGAAGAGAGTAAAGAATCTGCTCCGGCTTCAGTCGACACCTTTAACTTAACGCACCCTGACGACACCCCCCCCCCCCTCCAAATTCACCCCCCCTTTCTCTCCGCACTGACGACATTCTCAAGATTACATTCAGTAATGTTTGTATGTTTTCCGCTTCTCACACACACAAACACACACATACACGCATACACACACACGCACACACATACACGTTTTTGTTACCTGGTGGGTCCCTTTGACAGGGCCGTTCAGAATGGGACCCATAGACATAATCTTTTTTTACCAAGACTTTAAGTAATACAAAACAGTCAATAGAAACCAAACAACTATTTTAAAGGAATTTTATTTTAGATTTTGTTTTCGAATTGCAGTGATTCTATTTTTGACATAGAATTTAATGCCACTCCATGTCCGATGTCTAAGGTCATCTGGTGAGGCATTAATGCAGGCCAGGCAGTGAGACTTCCCAGGGACCTTTCCAGTCTGTATGAAAGGTGTCATGGTCTTCTCCACAGCCTTCACCTCAGATGCAGACCATGGCTTTCTTACACGTTCTAGGGAGAGAAATAAAAATATATTAGCAATATACACTCCCAGGGTGAGGACCAAGCAGCCTGGCTGTAATCCCCCACCTGGTACACTTACCAGAAGGGGCACTGCCACTACCATGGGGTGCATCTGGATGAATGGTTGAAGGTTCTCCGCTTGAAGTTTCTTTTAGCCCGTCCGTTTGTGAGAGGATCTCTACTGCTCTCCCTGTCGCACAGAAAATAAAAATACAAGTGGCCTTTAGGGGAAAAAAATCATACATATTTTAATAATATCAAGAATTACCTTCAGGCTCAATTTGTATCTGGTCGAGGCTCTTTCCTTCGAATTCCGTCACTCTTCCCTGCTCCATGGCCATCAACACTTTGCTGATTTTGGCCAGCTCCAGTGTCCCCTCTGGTAGTCTGTAATATTGCCTGTGGATGCGAATGTCATGGCCGAGGAAGTTGGCAAGTATGTCCATCTCATTCTCTTTCATATTGAGAACTGTAGACATAGTAGCTATGTGCTTTCTAAGTTTGGTTGAGGATAGCATCTCTGGATGCACCGCACCACATTCTTTGGCTACCTGGCGTAGGGAGTCTGATCCCCTGATGTGGGTGTCTGCGCCCGGGCGGGAAAAGAAGTATGGGTTATGGTCAGAGATGGAACAGGCCCTTCTGTTCTCCACCAGCACCTCCATCGAAGCAATCATTTCAGGAGTCAAAAGAACCGGCACTTTCCGACTTCTTTTCCCTTTAATTTCAATGCGTTGAAAATGCTGACACAGCTTTTTCTCAAGTTGGGACAGTCCCAGAGCAATGTCAGAATGGATCCCAGTCTTACTTCTTAAGGTAAAGGCTGTCAGTGGCATCTTTGAAACCTCACCTTCCCTTCTTCGATTGAAAATGATGACCTCACAAAGAGTCAAAACTGCCAGTTTAGACCAATGCTTAGACGTTGGCTCACTTATTAGGGTTTGCACATATTCAGGTCGACATACCTCAATATGTGCATGCATGGCTCTAACGTCCTCAGTCAGAGGGAGCAGGTCCGGAGTGTTCCACTTGGCTTGCCGGAGGGTCTGTAGGGCAGCAGAAGAAACACAGACGTCCCACCTCTTCTCAAAAAGCAGCCGGCTTCGTTGGAGGTTTTTAATAAATAGTTCATCAACACAATGCTCCATTTTTGAGTCACATTCAAGAATATCTGCTAGCTTTCTGAGGCTATGGCCGAGTTTGAGGGCCAAGGATGGAGTCTTGTATTGATTTGTTTCCTCATCATATCCAGCCACAGACCTGACTGCATCAATCACATGGTTAAAGTTGGAAGGAATAAAGAAATCCTTAATTGTTTTCAGTTTCCCTGCGGTTTTTGCTTCGTTAATTAACCTACCGACTTCTCTCATTTTCTGCCTAATGTAATCATGCTTTGTCTTATCATGCCCGTGTTTTAAGTACAGGTGCTCTCCGAGTCTCAGAATCCCCTTTTCTGCTTTGACAACACCCGTGACCTCATCCTGATGCATTGCCGAAATTAAAGACCACAGCTTTTTGCTGATGCCCTCCGGTACAGGCTGGGCTAGGGAGCAGAGGGACTGGACCCTACTTCTACCTGGTTTAGCCTGGGCATCTTTCTGTGAAAGCCGGCACCTGGCCACATGCCTCCACAGCGACTTTCGCTTAAGCAATGCCCCACAGTCTATACAGTGCAAAAACTCACTGGATTTAACTGGGCAATTTGGCTGTTTAGCTGGGACTAAAGTTCCAATGCCGGCCTTTAAAACCTCAAAATTGTGCTCACGGTTTCCACTATTCCTGATCAAATCAAACTGAAGTTTACGTGCTTTAGATTTCACAGGTAGAGCCAATGCTCTGGCTACGTCACTTTCATTTCCATGTTTTCTAGTCAAATGACGGGACATTTTGTGGCAGGACATTGAACAGTAGAGGCAGAAGTGTCTCTTGCTGTATACTCGCCCCCCATTTTTCTTCTTTTGCAGCTGCATGATAACAATCTTATTTGCCTTTGGTTCGTCACTTTCCGAGTCTTGAAGAAAAGTGTTTTTGATTTTTCTTTTTCCATACTTTTTTACAGGTTTCTTCTTGACAGTTAAATCGTCAGAATCTGAGTCGACTTCATCAATTAGGGACTCTTGACTAAGCTGCACAAACAACAAATAATTTGTAATCATTCTATATAACAATTTGAAGTCATGACTTGTAGTCAGCACTTACCAGTGGTTTGTAAGCGTGCGCTTCAGTGTGCTCCTCCATGATTTCTTGCAGCCTAATGAACCACACACTTGCACCTTTTTCTAGCCTGACACCTGATTTCCTCTGTTGTGCTGCTCCATGATTGGCTCCAGCCTGCTGGACTGAAATTGCCCCAGTGTGCCCCTCCTTGATATCCCGCAACCCACCACCAGGGTTCCGACACATAACACACTTTTTTCAGGAAAGTAAACCTCCAGGGGTCCTTTCCATATTTTTACAGAGACTGCATAAGGACCGTTAGAAAAGCATTACCCATTGATTATTAAGCTTGGACCAGTGGGGTCCGGTGTTCGGGCCCCACCACGTAAAACCAGTCCCCATGACGTGAGTGGAATCTCAGGTTATGGAACCCACCAGGAGTTGAAAACAAGTGCACAGACACACACACTCACACACACACACACACACACACACACACACACACACACACATCACACACACACACACATACACGTTTTTGTTACCTGGTGGGTCCCTTTGACAGGGCCGTTCAGAATGGGACCCATAGACATAATCTTTTTTTACCAAGACTTTAAGTAATACAAAACAGTCAATAGAAACCAAACAACTATTTTAAAGGAATTTTATTTTAGATTTTGTTTTCGAATTGCAGTGATTCTATTTTTGACATAGAATTTAATGCCACTCCATGTCCGATGTCTAAGGTCATCTGGTGAGGCATTAATGCAGGCCAGGCAGTGAGACTTCCCAGGGACCTTTCCAGTCTGTATGAAAGGTGTCATGGTCTTCTCCACAGCCTTCACCTCAGATGCAGACCATGGCTTTCTTACACGTTCTAGGGAGAGAAATAAAAATATATTAGCAATATACACTCCCAGGGTGAGGACCAAGCAGCCTGGCTGTAATCCCCCACCTGGTACACTTACCAGAAGGGGCACTGCCACTACCATGGGGTGCATCTGGATGAATGGTTGAAGGTTCTCCGCTTGAAGTTTCTTTTAGCCCGTCCGTTTGTGAGAGGATCTCTACTGCTCTCCCTGTCGCACAGAAAATAAAAATACAAGTGGCCTTTAGGGGAAAAAAATCATACATATTTTAATAATATCAAGAATTACCTTCAGGCTCAATTTGTATCTGGTCGAGGCTCTTTCCTTCGAATTCCGTCACTCTTCCCTGCTCCATGGCCATCAACACTTTGCTGATTTTGGCCAGCTCCAGTGTCCCCTCTGGTAGTCTGTAATATTGCCTGTGGATGCGAATGTCATGGCCGAGGAAGTTGGCAAGTATGTCCATCTCATTCTCTTTCATATTGAGAACTGTAGACATAGTAGCTATGTGCTTTCTAAGTTTGGTTGAGGATAGCATCTCTGGATGCACCGCACCACATTCTTTGGCTACCTGGCGTAGGGAGTCTGATCCCCTGATGTGGGTGTCTGCGCCCGGGCGGGAAAAGAAGTATGGGTTATGGTCAGAGATGGAACAGGCCCTTCTGTTCTCCACCAGCACCTCCATCGAAGCAATCATTTCAGGAGTCAAAAGAACCGGCACTTTCCGACTTCTTTTCCCTTTAATTTCAATGCGTTGAAAATGCTGACACAGCTTTTTCTCAAGTTGGGACAGTCCCAGAGCAATGTCAGAATGGATCCCAGTCTTACTTCTTAAGGTAAAGGCTGTCAGTGGCATCTTTGAAACCTCACCTTCCCTTCTTCGATTGAAAATGATGACCTCACAAAGAGTCAAAACTGCCAGTTTAGACCAATGCTTAGACGTTGGCTCACTTATTAGGGTTTGCACATATTCAGGTCGACATACCTCAATATGTGCATGCATGGCTCTAACGTCCTCAGTCAGAGGGAGCAGGTCCGGAGTGTTCCACTTGGCTTGCCGGAGGGTCTGTAGGGCAGCAGAAGAAACACAGACGTCCCACCTCTTCTCAAAAAGCAGCCGGCTTCGTTGGAGGTTTTTAATAAATAGTTCATCAACACAATGCTCCATTTTTGAGTCACATTCAAGAATATCTGCTAGCTTTCTGAGGCTATGGCCGAGTTTGAGGGCCAAGGATGGAGTCTTGTATTGATTTGTTTCCTCATCATATCCAGCCACAGACCTGACTGCATCAATCACATGGTTAAAGTTGGAAGGAATAAAGAAATCCTTAATTGTTTTCAGTTTCCCTGCGGTTTTTGCTTCGTTAATTAACCTACCGACTTCTCTCATTTTCTGCCTAATGTAATCATGCTTTGTCTTATCATGCCCGTGTTTTAAGTACAGGTGCTCTCCGAGTCTCAGAATCCCCTTTTCTGCTTTGACAACACCCGTGACCTCATCCTGATGCATTGCCGAAATTAAAGACCACAGCTTTTTGCTGATGCCCTCCGGTACAGGCTGGGCTAGGGAGCAGAGGGACTGGACCCTACTTCTACCTGGTTTAGCCTGGGCATCTTTCTGTGAAAGCCGGCACCTGGCCACATGCCTCCACAGCGACTTTCGCTTAAGCAATGCCCCACAGTCTATACAGTGCAAAAACTCACTGGATTTAACTGGGGAATTTGGCTGTTTAGCTGGGACTAAAGTTCCAATGCCGGCCTTTAAAACCTCAAAATTGTGCTCACGGTTTCCACTATTCCTGATCAAATCAAACTGAAGTTTACGTGCTTTAGATTTCACAGGTAGAGCCAATGCTCTGGCTACGTCACTTTCATTTCCATGTTTTCTAGTCAAATGACGGGACATTTTGTGGCAGGACATTGAACAGTAGAGGCAGAAGTGTCTCTTGCTGTATACTCGCCCCCCATTTTTCTTCTTTTGCAGCTGCATGATAACAATCTTATTTGCCTTTGGTTCGTCACTTTCCGAGTCTTGAAGAAAAGTGTTTTTGATTTTTCTTTTTCCATACTTTTTTACAGGTTTCTTCTTGACAGTTAAATCGTCAGAATCTGAGTCGACTTCATCAATTAGGGACTCTTGACTAAGCTGCACAAACAACAAATAATTTGTAATCATTCTATATAACAATTTGAAGTCATGACTTGTAGTCAGCACTTACCAGTGGTTTGTAAGCGTGCGCTTCAGTGTGCTCCTCCATGATTTCTTGCAGCCTAATGAACCACACACTTGCACCTTTTTCTAGCCTGACACCTGATTTCCTCTGTTGTGCTGCTCCATGATTGGCTCCAGCCTGCTGGACTGAAATTGCCCCAGTGTGCCCCTCCTTGATATCCCGCAACCCACCACCAGGGTTCCGACACATAACACACTTTTTTCAGGAAAGTAAACCTCCAGGGGTCCTTTCCATATTTTTACAGAGACTGCATAAGGACCGTTAGAAAAGCATTACCCATTGATTATTAAGCTTGGACCAGTGGGGTCCGGTGTTCGGGCCCCACCACGTAAAACCAGTCCCCATGACGTGAGTGGAATCTCAGGTTATGGAACCCACCAGGAGTTGAAAAC